TTATCTAACACGTAGTCTTCAATTTTGTAATATGATTTTTCGATCAAAATATTTTTTTTGTCGATTTAAGATTTAAATTAATGGTTAAACTAACCGATCTTCCTTATTCTGAAGATCTCAATGATAGCCATAAATATCTACTAAACTTAACACGTACAATAAATGACCAGTTAGTTTATCTGACCTGGCAACGACTGCATTCAAGCAAAAACTAATTTATTTTAAAAGTCTCACTTTTACAGTTTATTCTGTAAAAAGCGGGAATTTACGAATTCAAATATAAATAAATCTGTCCGTGTATTTAATATTATATTTTTTGTTTAGTACGTGGAGGTAACTGTATGAAGCCGGTTTAGAATTTTAAAAATGTTTAATAAATTATATTATTATGAAAGAATATTTAGTATAAACAATTATTATGTTGAATAAATCGACTCATCCAAAGAACAGAGTCCGATAATAATAAAATAAATAAAATTGTTTATTGAATAACGTATTGTACAAATCAATAACTAAAGACTAATTATGCGAATAAATGTAAAATATAACACATATACCTGAACTAGGAGAATCCTGTATTTCAGGTAATAGTATTTATACAGGTGAATATATGATGATTAAATCATAAACAAAAAAATGATTAAAATATAAACAAAAAAAAAATTTTATAACGAAATGCAAATCATATACCTATTACGCTTTAATTAGACTACATTTATTTTGGGATAATTAATAAATTCTCTGTATCATCGTTGGACATATTTTGCAGGAATTCTTGGAGAATTTTCTTAACCTTTATATAACAAAAATGATGTAAGGCCGATGTGATTATATGGCAAAGGGAATAAGTACGTTACGAGAACAATTTCGTTATTCAAACTAAGGCCGTAATACGTAAAGGTGGTTTGAGAATTTATATATCTTAATTCGTTTCGGAAGTGTAAAATCGAACAACGATCGGTCTGACATCCGCAGCTAAAAAGAACAAGTAGTCTTGCACATAGATCTTTGTTCTACGGATGAGACCAGAAGTTGATTTTCTTTAAAAAAAATCATATAATCACTCTGTATTATTATATCGGCTATTTAAATCTTTCAAAGGCAATGTACTGTGAAGTCTTGCTGAATAAATATTTGCATTTGAATCACGAATTGTATTCAACTGAACGCGAAAAAAAACAGACAAACAGTAAAAATAATACTATCTACGAGGAGTACAGCTTTATGTAGTTTACATACCAAGATCAGGAGATTTTACTTGTATTGGCTATCAAAGAAAGTAAGTTTTTTTTACCGAACACACTCATAGCCTCGCACTAGAAAGACCCTGTATCGCGGGTGCCATGGACACACACATAGACAGCCCTCAAATTACACCCAAACTCAGGAGATAAATAAATGAAGGCCATACAAACATTTATCCCGGCCCGGGAATCGAACCCGGGACCTCTGCGTGGCAGCCCAGGGTGGTAACAGTTTGGCCACAGAGGCAGTTAGCAGTGATTGTTTATGTTTTCTTATTACAAAATGTATGCACTCATATACAATCTCGTCAGACGTGAACGAAGACTTTGCTCGTTGGTTCGTCTACTATTGATTAGCCGTAATCATTCGTTCGTATCATTGGTTCAATAAAACCACATTAAATTTTGATCATATGATATGTCAAAAATGCTTTTATCACATGAAAGTTATAAAAATAACATGAACCACATGAAACAAAAAACAATATGTGACATTTTATCACTACTTCCATAGTCTAATGTTCTGCGCGATTCTCATGTGGCAGACATTCAAACCATATTCGTATTACAAAAACGAGCGATTCGTTCTGTGTACCGTTTACGTTCTCGGGTTTCTCTCCGAGAAAAGTTTCAGGAGACTGGTATCATGGCTGTGGCATCACAATGCATTTACTCAAATAATTGTAGTTTTTTTTTTAATATAAATGAATAAGTGCGCATTTGATCTCCGCCTCACCTGATGGAAAGTGTTGATGAGGTCGGCGATGGAGTATCTATGCATACCTAAAATCATAGCCTATTTATTACTCTCGCGTTCAAAAGACCCAAGTTATAGCGTTCAGGGAATAAGTCTGCGGGCAAGCAATTTTACTCCATTGTTTTCGTGCAACACAGATAGTGTTAAAAAATCTATTTAGTTTTTTTGAAGCCATTATTATTATGAACTTATTCTCTGATCCCCAAAACTGATCCACTGCCAATTTTAAATTGCAACTGATTCCTCTATATTTTGCAGCTCCCAACGGATCTTTGTACTCCTCACTGTATTTGTAAGGTATGTTCAGTCAAGAGAAAATAAGTTTTGAAATGAAAGTTAATACAATTATATAAGTCAGTACAGTTAATGTTGTTCATTTCTAATCAATTAAATGAAATACAGCACAATCCTCAAATACCACAGTACGTACCAAAAATAAACTTGTGAGTACCAGAGTATCAGGTGGGAATAAAATATTCACATTTATTCTTGATAATAATATGATGATGATGATGATGAAAAATAAAACGGATCCCCCAGGTTATTGGTTTTAGGGTATCAGAGGGGAATAAGCCATGTTGAGAAGCGCTTTTTTTTTTTTTTTTTTTTTTATTGCGTCTCGACAAAATGACTGCACCGCGCCTGATGGAAAGTGCGAATACAGTCCAGAGATGAGAGTAACGGATGGAAAACACAAATATCTTCACTCCGTCACTATCATTTTGCCGGTCTGGCCAAATACACTGGATGTACACCAACTGATCCCTGAACGCGATTCGCAAAAGCGTTTCACTGTGGAGGGTTTTCCGCCGTGTGTACTGTGGTCGCTATCCAGTCGGCACAGAGCCTACCACAATGCTAAGCAGATGGACACTTGTGACGCCCTCGGTCGCCTCTTACGACCCCCACGGGCATGTATGGGGAGGCGACAATGTATTCTTAAGCCGTCGCCCCACGGCTCAAAATAAGTTGGTACTATATGAGATACAAAGCAGCGCGAATTAGTAAGAGAGTAATTAGGTGAGCAGTTTGTTTTTCTATCAAATTTCTTGATTGTTTCTAGAAGTAAAGGACTTCTAGGATTTCTTCAACTTTAATGTAGGTCAGAATTATCATTATTTATAAAGTTTTCTATTCAAGCTTGTTTCTATTGTCGTCTTTTCAAAGGCGAAGGGCGCGTGCACTCATGCGATGTGGCGAAGATATTTAACGAGCTTCACTTAATTTATACGAGTTTTTAACTGCCTTGTTAACCTTTGTTTAGTTAGGAATAACTCACTCGGTTTAGTTGAATTGGACTTTAAACTTGTAAAGTTTCGATTTCGGCAGTGTTCAGCTTGTATTTGTTATTCTAAATTTAAACGGAGAATGTTTTTCTCGGAGGTCACATCTGCAAAATTACAACTTTGAGAAGTTTTAAGTTTCTACGCACTAAATTACTTGATAACTTTTTTATATAGGTTTTAAAATTTCATTAATTTTTTTCATATAGTTTGACTTAGGACTTTCAATCGCGCTGCATTTCTGCATCTGCAAAAACATCGAGACTCGGTGTGATCTCGGAATTCCTAGGAAAAATGAGACTTTCGAAACTATTACTAAAGTAGGTCATACTTTTGGGCTAGGCATTTAGGCAGTCATAGCATGATATTTTAATTAGGTTCTTTTTTAAAAGAAATTATAAAATGAAAAATTATTTATGAAAGTAATTTTTCCATTTTTAAACTGGGCACGTAAGAAACAAAGAGTGTTTAGTATAGTTTCAGATGTAGAGGACCTGATTTTATTACTACCGTTTTTCAATCTACACAATACTTTTTTTTTCCATAAATATCAAGTGACGGCACGAACAAGTCGTGTGACTGCCTGGCGTGTTGCTTACGCCTGTCCATAACAATTGCAGTGCCACTCAGAGCTTTAAATCGTAAAGATCTGAGGGGCACTGACACTGTGCCCGTCACCCTGAGACATAAGTTGACAAGTCCCATATGCCTGGAATTCCACTAAGCTGTACTCTGCAGTATTGCCATAGACGGATGCAGCCTGAATAAAAAGTATATGATGGTTTAGTAGATTTTTATAATTAAATTAAGTTTTAAAAGAATCGATATTTCTGGCACTGAAAACGTCAGTCTCGAGTCACGAAAATGTAAAAAAATTGTCGAGACTATAGAAATTTTCGAGACCGAGATGAACGCCCTAGTTTGGATTATTTTTATGATTTTCTACTATGAGGTCTTATTATAGCAACATTAAGTTTGAGTTGTGGTTAATTAATTATACATATATTAACAAGTTGCTCTACATTATGTAATTATTTTAATCTTTGTTCTTTAAGTTTTAGAAGGTTTGTTTAGCTTTTTCAATAGCTCTGCCTTAGTTGTATGTACGTAACGCATGAGACCAAATTTCTGTGCCATGCTTTTAGGTAATTATCACGTTCCTCACTTGGATATACCCCAACGTAACTCTACATTTCTTTTATAATACCAAGTGACGGGACGAAGAAGTGGTGCACCTGCTGGTAAGCGACATCCATTACAGTTACTACATCCAGTACAGTGCTTTAAATCGCAAAGATCTTAGGAGCATTGTTAGTGCGCCCGTCACCTGTCTCGGGACATTGACAAGTCCCATGTGCCTGTAACTTCTCCTGCACCTTTACCCTTTATGCTCACATTACTGGTTGGCAGCAGAAATAGGTAAGGTGGCAGTACTTCCTTGGAGGAACTCTTTATATAGTCATTGTCAATCACTCATCAATACATCAGTAACGCACACAATAATAATACTAACGCACATACTCAACATAGTCCCACACTAGGGAAACCCTGTGTCGCGGGTGCCATGGACACACACAAACAGGTTACAAATTATACCCAGTTTGGGTGACGACACGAGAGAAATAAATGTAGGCTATACGAATATTTCTCCCGGCCCGGGAATCGAACCTGGGATCTCTGCGTGGCAGTACGGCATGATAACCGTTCGGTCAGTACCTGATATCAAATAACATAGTTCCTTTGTGGTTCGCGCCCGCCGAGCGCGAATGGCCAGGACCTGGCGCGGTGCGCCTGCGTCACGTTGCCGCGGAGCAGCGCCACCACGTCGTCCAGGTACCGCAGCGCGCCCCACTCCGCCAACAGCGCACGCGCCGCCGCCGTACATCGACATGCGCGCGCACTCTGCGTCTAATATGAAACATGTCAGTAATACGTCACATAAATCACTAAAGACTGAAAAGATGTGGACCAAAACGTCGGTGTGATCAGGAAAACAAACGAGAAACTATTCGGATCCAGTACAAATGTTTTTAATTCCGGTTTAAGCATAGCTACTTTATCTATGCGGCACTGAGGCGACAATATAGGGTTCTGGAGATAACCTCTTTACCTTGGCTTTTTAGCCGACCGATCAATATATTGACCCTATTTTTCTTTATTTTACTTCTTTGGGATCTTTGGCTATCCTGTTGTAGTACACGATTATAATGAAGATAAATATTGAGGTGTTTTCTAAATACATCATAGGCTAGACGTGGTTTATTCGCCTGGTCAAGACTTTAACCGTCAGTTATTTTATTGCACTACATTTTTCGTGTGTATGCGCAATAACCGGCGAGGAAAGTGCGCCCGCGCTGCGACACAAATAACAAATGATGCGGTAACTGATTATGATTACCAGTCATTTACTTAAGTTATCACCATCGATTTTATCTATGTAACTCATTATTATTAAACAATGATTATGTCATTAAACTATCAAATAATAAAGATACAATTTCTAGTCTAAGTCGGCTACTCGTATAAGGTAAAATTATTTTGTCATAAAAATATGCCACATATTTCCTATTCCGTCTGTATGTGCTGTGTGCTCAATAGATTAACGTCTATATTAAATAATATTTACCGGATAACTTCGATGCTATTTGTAAAAACTTGTTAATAGTTACTTGTTGGAATATTCATTGCACGGGAAGATGTTTTGTTTTATGAGGTACAAATTAAACCTAGTTTGATAAATATAAAAGCGAACATTTCAAAAAGGAATTTCTAAAATTATTCTTAACAAATTGTTTATATGAGAATATTGGTTGGTAGAGTGATTACTACGTAAAAGTATAAAAGAGAAACGGTATAAGTTAACGACTTGACAGATAAAACGTATCATAACAGACGTGTAATTTTATAAACAGTAGGATAACTTTGTTATGAAGCCAAGGGTCAATAACACTCGATAAGGAGCGATGGTTGGACAAACTAGTATTGACTTCATGTCAAGATCCTTTACACCTTGACGTTTGTGTGGAATATGTAATACAGATAATGTTTTATATAAATTTGTTTTGTTAAATAAGTTTACGAAACTTTTATAAGAAGTCAAAACACTTACAGCACATAAAACGTTGCTATATTTCAGTGGCAAATCTACATAAGTAATATACGTCGTCACTGAGACCAATAATTACACGTATGGTGCAACCACCTTTGCATAGCGTACCGTAGTTATGATACCCTGTCACGCACACCGAAACTGCGGAAATGTAAATCTAACTACAGAAAGCACCAGCACCAGATAGAAAGCGACAGAAAGTGGGGGGGACTGGCGCAGGTACCAACGCGTCAGGGGTTGCGGTGCGCCACGCGCCGGGCCAGCACCTGGATGTCTTCGTGGATGGTGGCGAGCTCGTCGTGCAAGTCACGCGACTCGGCCAGTAACGCGTCCAGGCGTCGCGCAGCAATCGTCAACCCGTCTTCCGTCCACTCCTCGTCGTCCTCTACAGATAACGCTAGCTTCCCCATCCGCTCGCGCTCAAACGCCTCCCGCAAGCCTCCGCCGCGTCTCCTAAACTCTCTCAACAGATCTCTTCGCACACTTCTCCCGTTACGCTCTTCTTCCTCCGCTTCCCTCAACTCGTCCGCTAACGATTTGTCAGTCTTTAATTGAGATTGATCGAAGTTCACTTGTAACCGGTCTTCAGTCTCCTCAGTCGTTTCACAATTGTCTATTCTTTCTATATTATCTGGTAACCTGTATCCTGTAGGTTCAGGAGAGGCAGCGGCCGACAATCCTTGCGGGCTCGGTGATAGCAGGGCGCGCTGAAGAAATCGCCTCGTGTCGTCATCGAAGGGACGCGTGAGGCCTCTCCTCGGTGCCGGCCGGATGATGGCCTCCAACGCGTCCCTACCGGGGTCCTCTGGCCGCAACAGCTCGAGAATTCGCGCGCGCGGCGGCGAGATGGTCGCGCACACGTCGAATTTCGATACGAGTTTTCCTTTTACAGGCGATGTGTGAATATCGCCCGTAGGCGTGTACGCGCGGAGGTTCTCGCTGAGCATTCGGTAATTGCGAAACTTGACGTTCCCTTCAGGTGGGAGGGCGCCGGAGGGGCAATCTTCAGGGTCGGGCTCGATGATTTCTATGTGTGAGGTTACGCGGGCCATTTCGTGCGGTAGAGTCATGTCCCGCTCGGGTGGCGCGCGCCAACGCACTGTCTGCGGGCGGTGGAGGAAAGCGTGGTGCGCACGCGATCCTCTGCTGTCCACTACCGAGCGGCCAACGGCCTGGACGCGATAGTGCACTGATTACTGCGGCGCGAGTCGCAACAAATATATAATTATCGTTGTAAATAAAAACAATGTGGCGTCTACGGCGAGCGAGCGCGCACGAGTAGCGCGACCCGCCTGCACTCGGCAACTGCACTAATCTAATTTCATGACTTACGCGTAAATCTCTGACTGTAAACGCGTCGACGTAAATACCGCCCTCTTTCATAACGCGGCGACTGAACATTCTTAAGTGGCAAATTGTGTTATTTTTGGAATAAAAAACTCGACTTTTTTCAAATCTACGACACGGCACTGTATTTTCGATCCACTCTAAGAAGATTTGAAAAGGGCGTCAAGTTTGTGTGTGTATTGTAAAATATACGTATATTTTGTTAGGCTGCCACTAAACATGAAATAGAATAACCTAAACAGCACCAACAAACAGCAGGCGTTCTGGAACGCCTTTAATTTCCATTTTCTCGACGACACACATTTATTTCAAAGCGGCAAAGCATGTACTGCACCTCGGCGCACCACCGCCGCTGCATTTGCGGTCGCTCACTTTCATTCACTTGTATTTCACCTAAATACATTTTATGCGCATTTTATTGAGCGCTGATATGTGCTGGAATGCGATTAAGTGCGCTCGTTTCAACTATTAACGGATTCTAGCATTTTTATGTCTCGTTTTGTCGTTTGTTGGATTTATTTTTATTGCTTTGTGATTTTTTCGAGTGTGGAGCGGTGGGTAGCTTCTCAATTGAAAGATCAATGGCTCCAGTCCTTGCAGCGGCATGTACCTATGACTTTAACTCTAACTTCTACTACTGTGAATATTTAGTAGCGGCACCTCTCGCTAACGTTGAAGGAAAACATTGTAATGTAACATCTAAGAAGTATCACAACCCTCGGAAAGACCCGGCAGTGGGACTTATAATGGATTGGTGATGATGATGATCGTATGCCTATTGAGCAGTGTACTATGATCTACCACGTAGCACTTTGATTGTAAAAAAAGGTTACGTTTAATTTGGCACTCCTTTGAATGAAATGCCATTACGACTCAGAATTTTTTTACTATTGTAATGTAAAAACAAAAATTGAATTTCCTACCAACACAATGGAATTAACGAAATGTTTCGAGAGCCATCGACCCACACTCAACATAGCAACGCACTAGGGAAACCCTATGTCGCGGGTACCATGGACACACATAGACAACCACAAATTACATCCAAACTCACGACAGAAATAAATGTAGGTCATACAAATATTTCTCCCGGCCCGGGAATCGAACCTGGGACCTCTGCGTGGCAGTCCGGTAACCATGGAAACCGTTCGGCCACAGAGGCAGTTATTGTTTGTTTAATATCAGAGAATAGCGGTGGGTGATAAAAAGGTCTGTAGTTCAGCAGAATCGCGGTTTGTTTCACAGTCTTTTTTATTTCTTGTGTACAGCGCATCTGACATTGTTAGTTTAATTCAATTATTTATTAGTTTCATTAATTATCTTGATTTGTATAATGTACACCATTGTGTATATATACTTGCTATTATTATAATTATAACTCGTTGTTTTGTAAACTGACGGCCACTTTTCGAAGAGTGGTACAAAATGACATGTAATTGTATTTGTATGGTTAAAAGAACTGTGCATGTGACCTCCATCTCACTTAGAGGAGAATGACGTGGAGATCGACACCAAGGTGATGCTTATTCACGCTCGCCTTGAAAAGGCCTAAGGTGTTCAGGGAACAATAAAATAAAATAAGAACTTGATATAAAATAAAATAATAATAAAAATAAAATGTAAATTATTTATGTCAGATAAATAAGTCCATAGCATATTATTTACAAAACCTAAAGAACTACATTAGTAACATGTACGCTAAAAACAAAAAAATATGAATTTAATGATATACTAAGCTTAGAATAATAACGCATAGAAACCTAGTCCGCACACGCTACGTGAGGCAAATTGAAGCGCTCCCAAAGGGCCTACACGAGCGGGCCTGCCTTCAGTGCTCAAGGCCAACTTGCACCGCGAACAGCTCCAGAATTTTAGGTAAAAATTACGAAAAGTGTGGTAAATGGGTGTAAAAATACGTCAGACAAACATAAAATAGATACTAACATCACATTCCACAAGGAAGCAACGCGTTTCAACTTGTATTTTTATATAAATATTCACTAAAACCGAAAATTAACCTACTACTAAAACTAGCCTACATGAATTTGATTTTTGCCTCACTTGTGACAGTTCGTTTGATATGAAACTATCATTCTATGCGTTATTATTCTAAGATACTAACAATGTCTTTATAGTATAATAATAATATTAATACTAATGTTTTAGGCCATGGAAGATGCGAGAGTCTAAAATATATGTCCAATATAATAATAATAATCATAAAATTAGCGTTCTGCTATCATCTTCAGGATGTGTCGATCGATACGTTCGATATATCGTCTACGATATAGCCGCGTCAATTGAAACGGTGATTGAATCCTAAACTAGTACTTAAAAATATTTGCTACAGTTTTATGATCGCTTTGTGCATCAACAACCACTTTACTGTTCATGTTTTTTGTACTGTACAATAGGTGACGGAAATAGGTAAGGTGGCAGTACTTCCCTACAAAAAACTCTATCAGAATCAAGCTTCACTGGTACTATAATTTTATCACTATATTATAATATTAATAGGTGATTTAAATCCGAAAAAAATTGTTTCACGGTAAGCTCATATTAATGCAAAATTTTTGAAATCTTTTGCCTGTATGGTTAGTTACGTACCTTTAAAAGAAAACATTGTAAATTTCTTAAACATCATTTAATTTTCAAGTGTTTTTTTATTCAATATCACGACGTTTTACCACTATGATATTATTATTTTTAAATTGCTCCATTGCTTTGTTGTAATTATGAATAACATAGATCAAGGACATAGAAAAAATTCCTTCGCTCCTTCCGGATAGCAGACCGTGCCAGACGCTACGCCAACTAATCATTAATTCTAAGTGTTCGATCTTTATAATTAAACATTATTTATTAATTCCCTTTTATGTACAATCAACAAAGTGAAAGCATGTGAGAGACTATAACTAACCCTGTCCCCCATTGTATTGACCCTTTTTTTGTAAATAATTTGATTTAGCTTTTAAACGCCATTAGTGGACAAAAAATAGCTGCTGTGGGTGGCCGCTATTAACACTTCAACTTTGCTGGTAGTTTTACTGCGCTTTTCTATTAATAAAATAATTTTAACTATCTTTAAAGTTCTGACGGTTATATGATATTTATTTACATACACATATTTGCAGGTTGGGATGTAGACTTGTTGTATTAATTTTGATGTTTCCAATTTTTTAAGTTGCTTCAAAAGGATTGTTGTATGCTCTTTACAAACAGGACTATTAATCTCTAATTCTTTAATTGTTGTCGTGGTCAGGAGTTGAGGATAAATCCCGGAGATATGCAGAAGCGAAATCTTATGTACCAGTATTGGTTTGTAGACTGCATACTCTAATCCGATTGTCGGAGGGGTGCTAGTTATGGCCTTTTTTTCTAAACGATAAGTATAAGTATCTCTATCCAGTATAAAATCCTTTGTGTAGAACATAGCACTGTACAACTGCAAAAGACAATACCGCAATAGAACAGGGAATAATTGGAGACTTCTGAAATGTGATGTAGGAGGCGGATGCGAAGAATTAGATAGAGAGGGTGAACTAGAGTGAAGAAAAACAGAAACATCTTGAAAAAAGTAGAAAACTAAAGAAGATGATCATCTCATTGACAACTTAACCGAAAATGTGTCTAAGAATTGAAAATAACAAAACTGCCTCATTGTCCGAACGGTTACCATACTCGACTGCCACCAGAGGTCGCAGGTTCGATTCCCTGCGTTATACGACACATTAATAGCTCTCGTGGGTTGGGGTGTAATTTGTGTTTGTCTGTGTGTCCATTGCACCCGCGATACAGGATTTCCGTAATGCGAGGACATGGGTGTGTGCATTAAAAAAAATATTGTCGAGACAAAGTAGGTATATTAGACCAAATGTAAAGTAGTGGGGGCTATATCGTATTTTAAGCACGCAACGAAGAGGCTTTGTAGTGAACCTACTAGGTGACACATAGCTTTTAAATCGCAGAGTGCAAAATCGTATTATATCATTGTACATTACTCCAACGGCGTACACTATGAAGAGCATCAATTACAACCAAACAATAATGGCGGTCAGCCCGGTAGCTGGTGGTTTCACGCCTCGAGAAATGTTATTAATTGAGTGGCAGGTGACCACAAACCAACGCGGTTATCCTATAGATTTGGTTGTAAGTAGGTATTTGTTTCGGTATAGATAGGTAACGTTGCTCTAGGCTAGGGGAAATAGATATTACTCAGGAGTATAAAGGGTGTCCGTTATATCTTTGGTTTTTCATGACCGGGTTCCTCTTGCCTACTTTCCTTATAGCTACGGCTGAGTCTGTGTTTGTGTGAAATGTCGTCTGAGTTTATTTCTTGATATTTTCTTTCTTTAACAAAGATGATAGAGCAAAAGTTCATTAGATCATGAAAAATTGAAAGTTCTCGATCATTTCTATTACAGTAAAGGAATATATTCTGGGAATTGATGACTAATAACATTTATAAATGATGCGGTAATAATTATATTATTAGTTTTATTTTATAAAAAGTTTTCGTTTAATGTTTGTAACCTCTGTTTCTTTCAGTTTTTTATGGTGGGGTATTGTTGTAATAGATAAAGTCCGCACAGATAGAGAGTTTTCATTTAAAAATTTTTAGTTAATACTAACCAGTACGAGTAAAAGAAAGGTGTTAATTATATAAATTTAGTGAAGGTGTCTGAGAATTTAATTTCACGCTGAGAGCATTACTGCGTTTAGTTTTGACGGGTAATAAAGGTGCTGGTACATGGGAGTTTGCAACTTATGTCTCTGGGTGTCGAGCGTAGTGGCGGTTACCCTCACATATTTACGATTTAGAGCTCTGACTGTCACTGCAACTGCTATGGACAGGCGTGTCGCTTTCCACCAGGCACACGAGTTATTCATCTCGTCAGTTGGT